CCTGAAAGCAGCCGATTAGTCCTACCAGAAAGTTATCAACTTAGAAATAAATTAATTTTCTGAATGTCTAGAAAAAGTGGTATCGAACAAAGTTGTAGCTGGGAAAATTTCACGTAAGGGGAGGGGACCTTATGGGCAACTTTTCCGTAAATCACTATGGTGTAGTGCTAAAACGATGAGGACAAAAAGTACTCTTTTCTTATAGTAATTCCCATATAAACTTCAAAGAGCCAGTGCAAAATTAGTTCGCCACCAAATTAGCTAAAATTTTGGGAGATTGATCAGCCTGATTTGGAACCGATTGATCTTGGTGGCTCAAATTGAAACCATCATAATATAATAGGTACTTTGCAGCTGGCAGAGCACCAATAATTCGGAGAACCCTTTAAAAAATGTCTTCGCTGTTGAAATTGATTCGTGTGACTTCATCCAGCTGTAATTTCAGCCTTTCAAGATGTAGCCGATAACATCACCAGTTAATTCAAACTTGTACTTAAATTTGAGAAATGCTCTGCTATTTAATCTAATATATATACCTAATAATATTTCTAATATATTTAGAAAAAAAAGCATGGTGTGTTCATCCCAAGTAGTAGTCAACCTGAAAATATGATGAGAAATAAGGAAACTGGATTGTAAATTTCAGGATGAATCCAACATATTTGTCACACTCTGAATTGAAAATCATGTTTTCCAATTTTTTTTAGTAGGCTCAATATCTTTGAAAGCTCTGCGGAGCCGAACGACTAAACAAATATTAATATGGAGATCTAAATAAATTTCCTTATTTTTTTTTTTGTTTGCAACGCATCGAATCTCGACAGATCCGCAAACCGTTTCCGCCGAGGATGCTGGGTTTCGTTTTTACATGCTTTATCGGCCTCCTGAGTGCACGTCCATTATCACCATCTCTTCATGCTGGACCTCTACCACTTTCTCTGTTCATTTACTGGTGCTGTCTGACAATGCATCTACAGCCAAGGTTTCAAATACTCATTTCAGCTAAAACAATGTTTTTTTTTTTAATTATAAAATTATTAGATGCCATGATCATATTTTGAATTGGTAGGATACAAGAAGAGGTTGCAAAGAATGTGTTTGACATATCAAACCTGTTTATTTCACTTCATGAGAGTCACAATCAGCGATTTTTCACACACTCACTCACTCACTCACTCACTCAGTGATCAGAAAATCGCTGATTGTGACTCATAGAAAGCAAAATTTACAGGTTTTGTGTTTCAAACGCATACTTTGTAACCTCTTCTTGTAAGTTACAAGTAAAACATGCCATTATACCATCTTTTGGTTTTACTATTCCGAAAAACATTATTTTAGCTAAAATGAGTATTTGCAACCTTGTCTACAGCCACTACACCACACAGCAAAAAATAAATTTCATATTACATCCAAGAGGATGCACTTCAATCTTGTCGAAAATCTTTTATAATTTTTATGACCACAAAAATAAACAAATACAGTAAAAGCAGCGTACTGTCAGTTCATGCACTGTATGGATGATTTTTTTTTTCGTTTTGGCAAGTAATATTACACCATACTTTTAACACGATTGAAGTGCATCCACTTTGATGTGATACCAAAATTATTTTTTTGCTGTGCAGGGTACAAACTGCTATCCTAGTTGCAAGGAATTTTGTAGTTCTTCAAGAAACTTCGCGGAACTTAAGAAAACTTTTTTAAAGTTCAGGAAGCTTTCTTTAAGTGCAGATTTTTTTTAAAGTTCACCAAACTTTGTAGAAGCTCACCGAACTTCAGTGAACTTCGTACATGGGAACAAATCAAAAATCCGAAATGAAAAAAAAAAACTCATGATTTCATGAACATAGCGTATTTTCATGTAATGAAAATACACCATGAATAATATTTATGATATCATGAGCTAAAGTAAGAATGCTATGATAAGAATTAACCGAGTTAAAATCATGAACTAAGTTTATGATTTTAACTTTTAGTTTTTAAACTGAAACATATAAAAAATAAAATAAAGCAATAGACTGGATTCAAACCAAGAACCTTGCCATAATGAAATGTGAGTTTTGACCACTAGACTATCAGTACTTATATAAAATGGAAGGCAAAAGGCGTATAAGAGATATCTATGTAGTGCGGTGAACACGGTTTTCTAGGTAACGCTTAATGCGGTCATGATTCCGCTGCATTATGAAATCATGAATTTTCATAACAAAATCATGAATCATTGTTATGATTTCATGGGATAACAATTTTTTTTGTTTTTTTATTTATGAAAATGGAATCGGATTTTTTCCCGTGTAGACTTTTATCGAACTACTTCGGTAACTTTTTTTCTACGCACCTGAAAAAGTTATATGACAACTACCTACATTTCATACATCTCACAGTTCGTAATTGGCAGTATGAGCTGAATACTGTCATACTGTCGCTAATGTGATTAATAACGTTTATGCTTCGTTTGACACTAATGTTCCGTTAACTGTTTTCACTAGAACACTGTCTTGATTTTGAATGTTTCTATGGTGTTATTATTATATTTTGTTTTATGCATTAATACCAAGATTGATGCATGAGCAAAATTTAGTGAAATTATTTAAAGTTCTGAGATCATGGAAAAGTTCAGAAAACTTCGTAGAAGTGGGAACTTTATACAAGTTTAGGGATCTCCGTTGAAGTTAATTGTTTAATGTCAGGAAACCTCTTTATTTTTCAGGGACCTTTTTTATAACTTCGGAGCACTTTGATGAAATCTCATGGACTTGAAGTAGTTCAGAGAATTCCGCACAAATTCATATACCAAAATTAATGAAGTGGAATTAAAAGGAAGATAACCTTTTTTTGTTGTTTTATTAATAATAAGTAACAAGATATTCTTTCAGATATACTCCCTAGGCAGCCAGGAAGTATAAAAATACCAGCATTGGCTGATGTTCTTCTGATCTGAATTAGAGAGTTGCTAAAAGAAAGGATGACTTAAGAATGTGCTCAAGTTTTTGAATATCATATTGTTTCAAATGGATAGATCAACTTTCAACACGGTATTTTCCAAATTTAAACCATACAATCTGGAAATCCAGCGAGCGGATGCGACGAAATTTTGAATCATATTCCGGTGCTGCGCCGATGCTGGTGGAAACATGGTGCTTTGATCTTGAGGGAGACGTGCTGTCAAATCAACTTACTGATCATTCTTGTATGAAATTGGTTCCAAACGTAAATAAACCCTGTAGGTTTCTTATGGCTTGTTTACGTTTGGAATCAGTTATGAGAGGTAGGCGACGATTGTTCGTATTTGACAGCCACCTCACACCCCCCCCCCCCCTTGGATTTGATTGGTTTATCTGATGCAGGCTGTAGCGATGGCTGTACGGCTTTCGGGTCAACCGTTTGTTGTATATGGTGGCGCTTGGTATTCGCTTTGTGGAATTGGTACCGATACTCACTGTTGGTATGCAAAAGCAATATAATTATCTGAATACTCGATCACATGAGACACTTTAAAAAAATCTGAACATTTTTAATGTAATGGTAACAAAGTAAAAGTGAAAGCGTAAAGGTAATACGCCAAGAAAAAAATTTTCTGCATAAAATTCTTCGACCCATTGACTTATGATAACATTGCTGCATTCGTAGCATTCCGATATAAACTATTCAAGATACGTAACATCCCTTCTAACAATGCATACCAGTTGTGTTGCCGATGAATGGTTAAATTACGTTGAAAATTTGTGAACGTCTTGCCACGGTCAAATCCCCAATACCGATTCACTTTTTGTAGAATTTTTGTCCATTACATATTTTGAAAATAACGTGTCAAAAGATGTTAGTCATGCAAGTGCATTTAAGTGTTGAACCGAAAAAAATAAACGAAGAATATTCTAATTCAAGACCAACAATTGAAATGGCCTTAACTCCATTTTGTAAACAAACCTTGTAAAGCCATTTTCTCGTGAACCGAAGTCCGCAAAGGCAAACCAACATAATGAACAGGTAGGGGAAATTCTCCTCTACCCGATTGTGGTTTAGGTTTTCGAATGAAGGTTTCGGTTCGCGAGAAAATGGCCTTACAAGGTTTGTTTACAAAATGAAGTTAAGGCCATTTCAATTGTTGGTCTTGAAATGACCGGCAAATTAATGTCTTTGGCTGTTAGAGGATTTCAAGAATTCAAGCACTGCAAATATATGCTACCTTTCCTCTAAAATAAGAATGGTTTGTGGTAACGCATATGAAATGTCGGTCAAAGCAACCAAGTTTCAACAGCCTGTACATATTTCGTTTACCTACACCGAAAAAAGTTTTCATATAGTTTCCATTGGGAACGCACATGATATTTTTCCAATAACAAAATTAATGATTCGTACCTGAAATTCACATAAAATTCATATGATCACATGAATTCTATGTGATAAATCACATCAATTTCATTGGACACATAAGGTTCATGTGATTTTGTAGTGCGATTCCCAATTATGAGATCACATGAAAGTTATGTGGAATTCTAATGGATATTTTCCATTGGAAATGTGATTTATTTTTTGAGTGTACACCTTCCTTAGAGCTCTGCTGTTCTAGCATTAATCGTAGCACATGAGATGAGGCACATGAGATCAGCGCGAGCCTCGCGCACGTCAGGATTTTTGGGTGTCGCATTTGTTTCTCGCTCGTATCTTATTCTCGCGTGTCTCTTTCTCTCTCGTCACATGTTGTTTTCGTTGCGACGGGAGACGGTTTGTTGAGAGTCTCGGCAGCACATTTTTGTACGCACGAGGAAAATGTAACTCTGCCAATGACCATGAGCTGCTGAAGGAATATTAACGATAAGTTATAGGAAGCTACTGATAGACCTTATCTTATGTTTCAGACAACATTTTTGACATTTTGAGCTAGTCTAACATTTTTCGAATATTCGCACTAGAGAAAAATATTTTTTTAGACTAAAATAAAATGGACAGATGGCGCATCTATTGATAAAAAACGAGTTTTTTCAATACCTTATTTTGTTCAGTAATGTAAATCGTTTTTTTTTTTCTTTGATTTGTTTTCCGTCGATCTTGTTTTTCGTGCTGAGCACCAATGCTACCGACGCCAGAGAGGCAGCTCCCACACCTGGACCCTACCTATCGACCCATCAACTCATGAACCGGGGACCAACGGCTTTACTTCCCTTCCGAAGGAAGGCGTGATCAGAGATGCTATGCCTCAGAAAATCCCGGCGGCGCCGACTGGGATTGAACCCAGGCCTGCTGGGGTGAGAGGTAATCACGCTTACCACTACACCACCGGCGCCGCTATGTACATCGTTAATGAGCATTAATTTATTTTAATTTCTGGTGATGTGTTCCTGCGTACATAAACCTATCTAATATTGATGTTCTTCATTTGCTAAAAATTCTATACACGACGAAAGTGTATCCAAATCAATTCTTATTTTGTATAAAACATGATTATGGTCATCTTTATTATATAGATTTTCAGTCGTATGCTGGTTCATGTTTTTTTTTGTATAAAACAAAATGAAATGATTATGTTTGTTGTTTGTCCAGTCCAAATTCTGTGCTAAAGTTTTAAGTTACTTAAACGTATATATTTACGACGCTTCATGCTTAAGGTTCAGATTGTTCAAAGGTCACGGGGCAACCTTAAAGTGCTAAGGGCCTGCGAATATACGTAGTACATAACCTAAGGTGGATGTACCGATAGTTGGGAATATTGTTGTAAGTAGTTAAACTAAATTGTGACTGTAGAAACGTATCTCAACTATCAGGGAACTCACTCATTTCTTGTTTTCGCGCAATCATCATTATTGCCGTTTATTTATTTATTTGCGATGCTTCAATCCTATGGCACTTATATACCTAATCGCCTTCATTTTCTCTCTCAGCATTAGAATCGCTCTCCAAGCGGCTTGATGGTAAGCTCTTTGATCTGTAAATAACAACAAAACGTGATTAGTGATTGACAGAGTAGTGATTATATTCTCGAACTAATGTTCGCTAACCTCAACGTGCTTTGGAGTAGAAATCACATGCACTACGCTATTTGCAATGTCATCGGGTTCCAGAAATGGTATTGGCTTCTTCAATAAGTCTGGATCATTAAATATATCCGTCCGTACAGCTCCAGGACTAATGCTCTAAATTAAAAAAAATATTCAAGTTTTATTTAGAGCGCTACATACCAATCGACTATTAAATTTTATTTTTTATTTGTACCGTCAATTTAACTCTGCTGTTTTCATTCAACAACTCAATGCGGAATGTTTCAGTAAGTGCTGTTACTGCATGTTTTGTTGCCGGGTAGACGTTGTATGTGGTCAAAGTACCAACTCCGACCGGGACTCCATGACCTACTACACTATTCATGTTAACAATATGACCATCAACGTTTCGTCTCTTCATTGATTGATAAGCTTCCCGTGCACATACGATCAAACCTATAATGTTCGTTTCAACAACATCGCGGATAATCTGAGTATTACCGGGTTCGATGAGTAGTGCCGTTTTAAGCACCCCCGCATTATTCACCAGCACATCTGCGCCACCAAGTTTATCATCTATCCACTTGAAGGCCGATACTATTTCCTTTTCATTACTAACATCACACTTACAAGCATGGAATCTTCCTTTCAAATTTTCGGCAAGCGTTGATTTGAGTTCTTCCATTCTATCAACACGTCTTGCCATGCCAACCACAATCATTCCAGATTGAAGAAGTCCTTTAGCTATGGCCCATCCTATACCAGCACTAGCTCCGGTTACTGCAGCCACACGGTTCTGCCAACGATCCATTACTACTGGGTAAATTACACTTCGCCACAACTACAGTCTTGGTAATGACGCATAGCTATCGAAGTGCAACTAATTTATAGTTGAATTCCTTATCATTGTTTTTAATAGCCGTTAAATATAGCGCTACTGATTAGAACAATACCAATGCAGCAAAGAGCACTGATATAAATCAGTTGTTGGTCAAGTAGCATCACTGGCAGTATTATCTCATTAATCATTTAAGCTAAAAGTTTTGATGACGATGGTCTCACACCGCTTACCCCTACAAATGTTTGAGCTGGACGATTTATCTTTAAGATAATTAAGTATAACATCTTAAGCAGATCAGCAAACGAAAACAAACTGGTTACAGCTACAGACGTAAGATTCCTCTACAGTTCATAGTTGCTTCACAGCGATATAAATGTGAAAAAGCTTAGGCGTTCACCCTTTTTCCACCTCAAATCTTCATAGCATTCCCAAGCAATCAAGAGTTCATGAATAATCAATAAAGTATCTTATTACACAAGCAACCCCGCAATCTCATGCTATCGTAATTTTCATCAACGTAAGGAATGCTCACAAACCCCCGACATTCAGCCAGAAAACTTACTATTAATTCAAGGCATCTTCCAAATAAGCTTCAACGATCCACTTTTGTTTTCAAATGTTGAATTCAATCCTCCATATCCGTAACGATGCTCAAACTTTTGTAGACTACTCCAAATTACCTTTTTATTTTTGTTAACTACTACTATTAAATCAAATATCCCCTCGCGCTGGTTCATGGCATTGACGGTTCTAATTCAGTTTTAATTCTTTATCATCTTATCTAGGTATTAACTTAATTTTTTTTTTTATTATTTTGCTTCTTTATTTGCATTAAAATATTCATATATTTATTTATTTATATTTACATAAAACTATGTTCAACTTCTTCTTCTTGTTCGCATTTCAAGCTTATTGCTTAGCACATATTAGCTTATTGCGTGCTCTCAACTTAGTGTTCTAAATGCACTTCCACAGTTATTAATTGAGAGCTTTCGATGCCAATACCAATGCATGTGTGGCAAGCACAATGATACTCTATGCCCAGGAAAGTCGAGAAATACCGTGCCTTTACTCCGGCTTGGTAATACCGTGCCTTTACTGACTAGGCTATGAGGCCCCAAAAACTATGTTCAACTTAATATTGATTGTCATTGTTAGCATATATTCATTAACTTGTTTGCCTGTCTATAGATCTTAATTGTTAAATATTTTTCTTTTTTGTATAACGGCAATCTAGACTTATATTTTAGAACGCCTCCAACGTTCATTAAGATGGATGACATGCATGAATGACGTATAGAGTATTTTTGGACATGGCTGGTTACCCTAAAATGATACATCATTTATGGATCTTCCTAAATGAGCGGTCGTTGAGAGCTGAATTTTTTTATCATTATTATTTTTATTTTAGCGGTTTATTATTTAATATAAAACAGCAAAACAGGTTATCTTCCATTTAATTCCACTTAATTAATTTTGGCATCCATGACAGATACGTATTTCGACTACAATGTGCGGTCGATCACAACCATCATCAGGGGTTGAAACAGTTGACGTTTTTTACTACACTCGCTTCGTTGTCTTGCGCGACAGTCTGTTTGTATTCGAACACTCATGCTCTACCGTCGTCTCTCTCACACAACACGAGCGGTAGAATAACATTCGAACTAAAAGAAAATTATCAAAATAGCTATCATATGACATGTGTGATTTCGTTGTAATTCCTCAATTTGGTGTAAATCAAACCATTTCTGATAAGAAATATTGTTACTAGGACATCATTGCTTGCTATTTTCAGAATTCACAGCTCTTATTATGAGAAAAACTAAAATAAATACATTCGTGACGGTCTTCGGAGACAGTGTCGTATGACAGAGCCTGTCATACGACATTTTAGTTTGGTACTTGTTATAGCTTGTTTTGCAAGTGTCGGAGGCAAAGGCAGTCATTTATCACAGAAAATATGTCGACTACCGTGACCGCTTACAAGACTGATCATCATCAGTGTCATTCCCACTAAAGAACTTATCAAAATCTAACCCCCTTAAGTACTCATCCATAGGTAAAAAAAGTCAAGATCACAGGTATAAAAATGAAACTACAATGTGTTGAATCTGAACCTACCTAACTAATAAAAACCAAAGATTTAAGTAAACTAAAGGAGAAAAATCTATACAACTCTCTAATAAGTTTATTATTATCTCTTTATACTAACAGCTCCTCTCGACGAACTAAGTAGTTTCTTAACACTCCGAATACGATGCCTCAAAAAAAAACGTGTAACGGCCAGTTCGCAATGGCATGCCCGGAAAAATTAACCATACAATTGGGTTGTGGGACCATCCTCCGAAAGATCAAAATAATCTACAGACCCTAGGAATTCTAGAAGTACCACAATTTTTGAAATTCATCAAGAAATGGCTAAGCTACCCGACGGTGGTGACGTATTGTACATCTATTGTAATAGTATGTTAAAATTTCGTGTAATTGTATTTTATTTTATGGTAATTGGGTTGTTTAACTTCGAGAAAAATATCTATTTTTATACATCATCTGATAGAGCTTCGTTTTCTGAGCACAACGATATTTTTATCGATCCCGTAGACATTCATCTCGATTCTTAAATCAAGATTTAAATTTTTGATCGTTGACACTAAATCTATTCGTTGACAGCTCACGCCCATACAACGTCCCACCAAGGGTGATGTTTGCTAATGTAATCGTGCTCATTAAAAATAGTTCCAGTGATGAAATTTTGGATTTCGGTTCCATTTTTAATGCAGATAACTTCTTCTTCTTCTTCTTTCTTTTTTGAACCGTCTTCTTGAAAGCTCAAGTGATTTGGGCTAGTGGCTACGACTATATGCCCAAATGCAGATAACGAATATGTATTTATCTCAATACCCCTAAACAACAAAAATTGGCGCTCTTTTTTTTATCAAAACAATCACACCAAAATCAGAGATGACCCATTTTGTAATTACTCGATTAACAACTAATCGATTTGTTTTTGTTCACTGTGCTGTCATTTTTCCACCAATGAGAGTGCAGCACATGTTTGAAACGATGCGTGATGATCCTCTGGAGAAGTTAATGCTTATATCGGCATGATATAACCAATTACAAATATTTTACTTTTCAGTTCGTTAATCGATTAATCAACTATTCGAAATGAAAATCGGCCATCACTAGATTAATGTGAAACGTCATTCCAAATATAAGGACCATATATAAATGATACAATTTGAAAGGGACCGGGGCTAATCACAAATTACGTCCCCACGGTAAACTGAAATAAACACGAGTGCTGACCGGTGGCTTTTATTGTCGGATTCTACTGACACTTTTATCAACAATCAATACGAAACTAACGATTTTAAATTGGCTCACTACTTGACTAGCCTATTTGTCCCAAGCAAATCGATTAACGTACCCCATTCTAGTCGAAATTCTGTTTTGATTCGCTATGAAAGTTTGACAGATAAAATGAGGGGTTCGTGGATTTTCCTATGTTTCGAGGGGTGCATCGATTAGTTTAGGACCGAAGAGAGTACCAGAGCTGCGGCAAAAAGTTGAGCACGTTTCTTCGGGACCTTCTAGCACAAACGAAGTGACAGACGACTAACTGGCAAAAAAATCAATTAAAATAATGTGGTTCTATGTAATAGAACTTTCTTAAAAGCTTGTGCCATCAGCCACCAGATGGGCTAGTATTTTTTATGTGCAATCAATTGGCGATCTAACGATAGCGCTCGTGGCGAATAGGAGAAATAGAAAAATGATGATGGTCTTAAAATTTTGCACGTTGAGGTATAGGAAAGAAATCTTGAAAAGCATTTATTAACCTCAAAAGCTACCCGGTAGATGTATAATTTCAATTTTTTTTTTCTTCTTAGTTTTTGTTTCGATCTTTAGATTTAAACTTTTCTAAGCTCGTATGCACAACCAAATTTATAGAAAATACTTTATTCGTTAAATAAAAGCGTTTTTTAAATATTCTCCCATACCTCGCCGTGCAAAATTATGATACCATCATCATTTTTCTAGTTCTCCTATTTGCCAAAAGTGGCCCTTTAGCTGAAAAACATGGTAGTCTAATCTAGTCTGGGAGTATTGTGGAAAACCATAAAAAAAAATACAATCAATGCTTTTCAATACCAAATCCCATTATTTAATATCCTTGTATCTTTCCTAAAAACTATTTTTATTACCTATCATTTGATATTTTGATCCTTGAAATCGGCCCAGTGGCCTATGAATTATAAAAAAAAAATTGATAAAAAAAATAGATTTGTTGGAAAAACTCTAACATGGTCACCTTAATGACAAAAATAAAAAAAAAATACGGGTTTAATATTTTGCGATAAGGAACAAATTTTTACGATATTTTGAGAACCACTTTATTGTTTTGCTACATGTGTCTAGTTAAACGTTACTTCACATGAGAATCCAAGCGTATGTAGCATCGCAGTTTAAAGAAGCAATGATGTCTAATAAACGCTGAATAATCAAATAATTGATCGAATAAGCTCTGTTACAACTCAAGTAAGTCTAATAAAAGCTTCTCGAAACACCTTATACAACAACAAGCAGTTTAATGTAGTGGTTGAATAAATTCTCCAGATTTGTGTGAACAAAGCCTGAACAGAAGTTATTATTTAAAATAGTACAAGTATTGTAAAGCATGCAGTTGAATAAAATCGTTAAGAAGTCGTTCTGGGAGGCCGAGAATAATGTATTTTCAAAGAACATGAAGGTGACCCTATAAACAAATTGATATTTAACGATAATGTGAACGAAGTGCGCGGTTAGAATAAAGCTAATAATCGATGCATGTTTTAAGTACCTACCTAACTCTGTACTCATACTTGAACGTTATCACGCTTCTCGATATTTGAATAATAACACACACTTCATCATCGTTGATCACTGTACCATGCCGCTGTTCTAGTGTTTGCAAATACGTACCTAGCACCTAGCAGCACATTAATATCAAATGTTTGATGACTTATTTGCTTTTTATTCGTTGGTAATAAAGAGAATCTAATGTGTTCGTTCATTGATAGTTCCTACCTATTTATTCATAAATAAAAGATGACAGATAGTTGATGTGCGGAAATGAATATAAGCCGATTGCGCAAGGTTTCATGATATAGTTGCGATTTGCAGTATCGTTTGAGGACAGTTGAAATCAAGGATGGAACAGTGGCGTGGAAAGATTGCCGTGGTTACAGGATCCAGTGCAGGCATCGGTGCAACCATAGCTATTCAGCTAACTAACGCCGGGATGATTGTGGTTGGATTGGCCAGGCGTACTGAGCGTACGGAAGCTTTGAAAAAACAAGTGTCACCAAGCTTAAGGAATAACTTGCATGCCGCACGTTGCGATGTGAGCAAGGAGAACGAGATAGTTTCCATCTTCAAATGGATCGACGAAAAGTTTGGTGGTGTGGATGTTATAATCAATAATGCCGGCGTTGTTCGTGACACCAAATTGATAGATTTGAACAATACGCAATCTATACGTGACACATGGGAAACTAATGTCATGGGCTTAGTGCTGTGCAGCCGAGAAGCCTACCAGTCGATGAAACGAAGATCTGTTGCGGGACATATTATCAACATTAACAGCATTGTTGGCCACAGTGTTCCCTATTCAGTAGAAGCTATACTTTCATCTTACAATATGTATGCTCCTTCGAAGTATGCTGTAACTGCAATTACAGAAGTAACCCGCCAAGAGCTTCTGGGAGAAAAATCTAAAGTGAAAATTACTGTATGTTTGTTCGATTAGCTGGTATAACACCCTTACTATTAAATTAATCAATTTTCAGAGCATAAGTCCTGGAGCAGTGAAAACGGAGATAGCTGATTTCAGTAATGTTGAACTTCCACTACTCAATCCAGAAGACATTGCGCAAGCTGTGTTGTATGCATTATCTACCCCACCACATGTCCAGGTATCTATTTTCTTTCGCTAGGTACATTTATAGAGTTTTGAGCTTACTTACGTACTCAAAAACGGGTTAGTTTTAAGCATACTAAAAGCATTACTTGCTGTTTTCGACAAATCATGTTGCTAAGCTTTGTATTTTGTCTTATTTAGGTTCATGAGCTGATTATCAAACCAGTAGGAGAGCGATTCTAAGTAACCAGATATTGCTGCAGAATATTTGAACTACAAGTTCCAAACACCGACATAACTCAACGAACCGCCAAATTCCGCCCATTTGGATATAATTGTGATATTTTTCAAAAACATAAAAACAAAACTATAACGTTTTGATTAGGTATATTATAAAATATGTAAAACTTGCATAAGACGAGCAAGAATAAAAAGATTCCGAGGTGCATACATTTAAATTGTACCATGTTGGAAATGCTGGTCAACTACCACCCAAGAGCAGCTGTCTAGGACAGATGCTTAGCAGCGTATCTTGGTAAGGTAAATGCAGCTCGATGTACATCCGTAGTGTAGTACCGCATCTTCATCTCGTCGATCTCGTCGTCAGTAAAAATTCTAGTTGGTTCATTCAACTTGGAATTCTGAAAAAATAACAAAGAATCCTCTGATTTATGAAAATTGTGCACATTTTACTCATACTGTACCTCATTCAGACTGGCAATGAAGAATCCTATTTGACCTGTTGGATACGACGGTACCGATGCCAATCCATATCCTACCACCGGGAAATGTTTCCTGCAGTGATCCAGTGTACTTTTAATATGTTCCATATCAATCCAGAAAGTACCTCCTTGAGAGCAGATTATTCCATTCGGTCGCAACGCTTTTTTAGCCAGAGCGAAATATGATTCTTGGAACAGGGACTCGGCTGGACCAATAGGATCACTGCTATCTGTGATGATGACATCGAATTCACCCTCTCGTTGTTTCATATACTCGAATCCATCTCCGATCGTCAGCTTCAATTTAGGCGAATCAAAGCCACATGCCATAAAAGGTAGATATTTCTTGGATAATTCCACGACACGGTCATCAATTTCTACCTGGTGCACTTCCTCCACTAGTGGATGTTTCACAACTTCTCGAGCTACTCCACCATCACCACCCCCAACGATGAGAACCTTCTTGGGGTTCGGATGGCAGCATAGTGGAAGAAATGAAATCATTTCCTGGTAGGCAAACTCATCACGCTCCGTACACTGGATGATTCCGTCCAGTACCAAAACGGTTCCATGCGAATAACTGGAAATGAATTAACAAAGAATCTTTGAGCTTTTGTATAATACGCAAGGAATCAAAAATATCTCCAAATGAAAAAAATGGCAAGCGATCAATATAACGCTCTTTGTCAGAAATGGAAATCAATAATGAGATAATATTCTTTTTTTTTCATGACAGCCTGCCTTTGCCTTTGAAAATCACAAAATAAATATTGAAGCTCATTATAATTAGATTGTGGATAAAATATAAAACATCCAAAACAATACAGTTAAAATAGATTTCGAGACATATAACTACTGGCCCCATTCACCGCTCAAGTCGTAGTGAAGATGTTATCTTTTTGAATTGTCTATCTTTTCTGACCATTTAACAAATAATATTTATGGTTTGTAAGATATTAAGGTATTAGATATTGATTAAAAACACGCCTTTGTTATGAACTATTGGTAGTAATGTATATTTTAAGTTTATTTTTGGAGTGAGCGGTAAAGCGAACCCTTGATAGTTGTGGGTTCTTCATTCACCACTCATATGGATGTGAACAATTTTTTTTTATCGGAAATAAGCTGTGAAATAAAAGTGCCGAAGGTTAAATATGATCAGCAGGCATTTTAAACGAGTGAATTAGTCGGTTAAACGCATGTTTAGAACTCATTTTGGGAATTTTTTCAACAAATTTTGACAAAATGAACAACGAATGGAGGTCAAGCTGTGAAGGGGTACCACACGGTAGTAGCAAGCGTTTTGTCTTTATCGTTGGCTGCTTTGCGTGTTTGGATTCCCTGGTAATACATTAAATTAAAAGAATATACCTGTGATTGCTTTATGAATTATTTTCCATAAGCAAAAGCTTAGCCAAGAATTCTTATATTCACTTACCATGCCAGTACCATATTTGACGTGGTTCCTAATGGTGACGCACTTGTCTATTTTTAATCGCATTTCAAAAATATTAATGGAAAATAGTCTAAAATGTTTGAATGCGTCAAATATGGTGCCTTCACGGTAGTGCCAAAAAGTACTACTTTTAGAAACTCTTTTGAGTGCAATAAATGTTGTATGCAAGTCGTTGCAAAATTCGATTGTTGTTCAGCACTTGTCGTAATTATTCAACGAGGCGAGCCGAAAATATTTTCTTTTTGAAACTTGTTGCATAAATAGTTATTTCGGAATGATGAAACCATTAGTTGTAACACGGTAACCGCAAAATACCCAATAATTAATATAAAGTACGCAATCATGTAAATTATGCATTTTCGAGGGAAAATGGGACTATACCCATTAAATGAGGAAAATGTTTACCCATTTATGAGTAGCTGTAAATCACAAATTAATAATCTTTACTGTTTTATGTAGTAACAGTTATTCATGTACGGGTAAAATTTTACTTTTTAATGGGTAGTCCAATGTTCTCTCAAAAGTGCATACTTTATAGTCATTATTGAGTATTATGCGACTACTGTGTATAATGATATTTTGTACTTGTAAGTTACAAGAAGAGGTTATAAAGTATGTGTTTGACAAATCAAACCTCTCAATTTCGCTTTCAGAGAGTCACAATCAGTCTTGTAAGCGGTCACGGTAGTCGACACATTTTCTATGATAATCGACTGCTTTTGCCTCCGACACTTGGAAAACAAGCTATCATAGTACAGTACCAAACTCAAATGTCATACGACAGGCTCTGTCATATGACACTGTCGCCGAAGACCGTCACGAATGTATGTATTTTAGTTTTTCTCATAATAAGAGCTGCTGATGTTGTGCTTGTGTGAATTCTGATAATAGCAAGCAATGATATCCTAGGAATAACATTTCTGATCAGAAATGGTTTAATTTACACCAAATTGAGGAATTAGAACGAAATTACTCATGTCATATGATAGTTATTTGATAATTTTCTTTTCTCTCGAATGTTATTCTACCGGTTGTGTTGTGTGATAGAGACGACGGTAGAGCATGAGTGTAGGAATAAAAACAGACTGTCGCGCACGACAACGAAGCGAGTGTAGTAAAAAACGTCAACAGTTTCAACCCCTGGTCACAATTTAACTTACAAAATACTCTTACCACAGACAAACAGACATAACGCATTGTGTACTTTTCACTGTAAAACATCGTCACTAAAACACTACCGTCATTTGTTGAATACACTGTAGTGGCACTACTTTGAATAGATGGCGGTAGTGTGAAACGTCAAACGCAAGAAAATTGACTATGCGCGCCACATGTGGTGGCACTACCAACTAACAAACATTTAAATTGACCGTTAAATGCGTGTTCGATAAAAAACATACAAGTGTTATGTCTGTTAGTCTGTTCTCTTACCTTACGAGTGATGTAAAGGTGGTCAAGAACCAGGACTGCTTCCACTCATTTGCTACAAAAAAATGATTTTCTGAATTTTTGAATCATTATAAAGCCTAATGATTTCATAATTCCGAAAAACAATTTTTTTATAGTTGAAGATGCTAATTTCAAATAACAGACTGTAGTGGTAATTTTTATACGATAGATGGAGTAGATGAAAGCATAGAGTTGATAGTTCCGTTAGAGTACGGCAGTGTGAAGATTGTATATAGATATTAGACAAGCGAGCTAGGACAACTTTTAAGGAAGGCACAAATCGGTTTTTTCATCTCTCTTTACCAAACTCCCCCTTTGGAGAGGGATGGTGAGGGGTGTCCCCCCCCCGCCACCACTGGCAAAAAGAGATGAAGACCGACCCGCTCATGTACCAACTGTGTGTTTGAAACAGTTCTACCGATTTTTTACCGCACTTCAGTTGTTATTTGAAGGAAGGCATCCAGTCGTAGGTTTGGAAATTGCAACTATTGTTTACCCCTACCACGATATGTGCTCCTGTCATCGTCGACTTGACGATCTCGAGGGGACACGGGTGGGGTAGGTGCTGCTACTGTACCTTTCGACCATTGACAGTAATTGATGGTATGCTCCCATCCAGAGTTATGTACTTTGACTATATGTTTTTAGTATTACTTCTACGTGAAGTCAACGATTTACATAGTTGAAGATGCTAATTTCAAATAACAGACTGTAATGGTAATTTTTATACGATAGATGGAGTAGATGAAAGCATAGAGTTGATAGTTCCGTTAGAGTACGGCAGTGTGAAGATTGTATATAGATATTAGACAAGCGAGCTAGGACAACTTTTAAGGAAGGCATTTTTTTATAGCAAGTGATGTGAAGCAACCCTGCAAGTTCACAAATGCCTCCCCAAATTGATTTCATACGCAAGTGATATGAATTTCGCGAATAAACACGAGGAGGATTTATTTATAACAAAACTTGCCATATACAATCGTCATGGCGTGCAATTTATATACAAGACTATGCTGGAGGTGGCTGGGTTCGATTCCCGGTCCGGTCTACGAATTGTTTCGGGTTGGAAAACTTGTCGACTTTCCTGGGCATAGAGTATGATTGTGCCACACAAAATACTAATGCAAAAATGGTACTGGCATCGAAAGCTCTCAATTTAACTGTGGAAGTGCATCTAGAACACTAACTTGAGAGCACGCAATAAGCTAATATGCGATAAGCAATATAATAAGTTTGAAATGCGACGAACAAGAAGAAGAAGAAGTTACCGAAATTCCTTCTGTATTATTTGCAACAATTGTTTTTTGTTTGTTGGGCCTGTCTCAACTACCTGTTTTGCCGGAGGACCATCGTGCATAGTTCTGTCTATAGTTCCACACTGGCACGAGGACGATGATCAGCCGCCCCTAACATGGAGAACATACACTGCCTCTAACATCGAGAACAGGCGCTCGGATCGAGCTGCACACTCCGGAGAAGTATTTTTTTTTCGATTTAGTTGCCACAAAATTTTGTCTAGCACGGAAGGTTATGGTATGGTGGCATTATTTTTAAGGGTAGTTTTTATGTGTTCACTCCCTTCGATTTTTTTAGCAATCAGGAAAAATGTTTAAAACATTTGAATATTCAACATAAACGTATCAAATTTTCACAGCTCAAAACTTTGAATAAGTAAATCAAATATTTTATTTTGCATTTCTAACTGGACTCGTCAAAGTCGCTTATAAAAGCACGCTTTTACGTTGCATTATTTTGGTGTCTTCTGTGCACTTTTTCCTTATGAACCAAGGAAAAGTGCACGGACACCAATACGATTTAACGTAAAAACGAACTTTTATTGGTGCTATTTCGTTTGAACTTTTGTTCAGTTTGATTTTAAGTTGAAATCTCAGTTAAGGGACACTTTTTTCCCTTGATTTGTTTTCCGTGCTTAGCACCAATGCTATCTAGCCAGGGAGGCAGCCCAGACACTTGGACCCTACCTATCGACCCATCAACTCATGAACCGGAGACCAACGGCTTTACTTCCCTTCCGAAGGAAGGCGTGATCAGATATGTTATGCCTCAGAAACATCCCGGCGGCGCCGACTCGGATTGAGTATGAAAACCCGAAATTAGCTAACCATAACGAAATCTTCGCCTCCTTAACATCTATAAAGAAAAAATCTCATAATTTAGAAAAACGTGTGGTTCTGTAAGACCCTATGAATTCAAAATTTCGCTTAATGTTAGAACTATCCATAATCATAAATTTAGTTCTGACCAATGTTTGTCTTGTCCTGATAAAGGGTTCATGTACATGTTTGACTAAATAAATTACAATTACAATCAGATTCAGTGAATACTGTATTCAACAGAAGGATCTGGAAAACAAAAACGTGTTTAATTTTCATAATGCTGTTAAGAGCCAAAACATAAAAGTTTTGTGAAATTTCGAAAAATTCCGTCTTTACCCTTAATATATTACCAAAGTAACCTCACCGAGAGTTAAAGTTTGCTCTGTCCCACTTCTTCCTATGTGATCTTGTTCAGTGGGGATACGCAAAAGACCAGTTTGTCCTAACACTCACTATCAGGCACCCTAGAACGCCGAAAACCATCTACACAAACCCATACAAAGCTTGATAGCTGGAAAGGTTCATGTAAAAGTTTTAGTTGGAAGAAAGAATTTTGATATTGTGATCTACAAATGCTCAACGTCAATGAACAAAATAAAATAATGATATCGTTCAACTCTCTGATTTTTGTCTAAAATTACGGATAACTTAGGAAAAATAGGAAATAAGCCCCATTGTTTTATTTGAAGCTGAAATAAGTACCTATACATATTTAATAAAATTTACTACTTTTTAATCTCAATGTAAATGTGTACAACCAGGCACTATCACTCATTATAGCAGCTTATCAAAAAATAATGTCAGTACTTGACCCACAAAATATAGAGCCACGTGTTTCCAAAACTCCTTATAAAAAGAATCAAACAAAAGAAATACTTACGTGTCAAGCAGCTTGATGTCCTGGAATCGGGAGCGTTCTTCGTGGAGAACTTTTTTCACCTTCAGAGAAAAACATTGATTTGGCCATAGCTGTTCAGATATTTCGCTGAACCATTCGGAAGGATTCATTTTGCAGGGAGCTGTATAAACATAGGAAAACATTTAAATTTATTGCAATTAAGCGGTGATCTTCTTTTACTCACGTAATTAAGATAATTATGGGATGAGCAAAAACAGGAATCGCTGGTAAACACGAAATTGACAACTACAGAGCACTGATAGTGAACAAGAACAGCGCTAATCAATCGTTGAAACAGGTTGAAAGTAAACTGGCGACTGGCGATGCGAACCGAACTAACTCGGTTTCAGTTCGATGCAGTGATATGTCAGTGCTCGTGCTTGTTGTTCTTGATGTAATCAAAATCACTGAACTCACCCAAGGCGGGTAATAAAGGTGTCACAGTAGGAAGAAGTGTTAGTTCGTTTACTAAAATGAACAGTGTCTTTACTTATAGCAAAAAAATGAACAAATGTAATTGTGTATAGCAAAATTATGAACATCCTTCTTTGTCTTATACCAAGAAAATGAATACAAGTAATATTGCATAGAAAATAACATGAAGCCATCTAGATTTCTTATAGTAAGAAAATGAACATCTCGGAACATCATGGAAGACTTCCATGATGTTATAACTTAGTGTTGTTGCATGTTATGTTTACAAAACCGTTTGACTGTATTGGTAAGAAATTATTCGAAGGAAATTCGAAATTCGACGTGGTTTAGCTAACCGGTTTAGGGAAATCTCTTTATACCACAGACAGACATACAAATTAGTACCGTTGTACCAACAATCAATACGAAACTAACGATTTTAAATTGGCTCACTACTTGACTAGCCTATTGGTCCCAAGCAAACGATTAACGTACCCCATTCTAGTCGAAATTCTAGTACTACACTATGTTTGTTTTGATTCGCTATGAAAATTAGACAGATAAAATGAGGGGTTATTGGTTTTTCCTATGTTTCGAGGGGTGAATCGATTAGCTTGGGACCGAAGAGAGTACCAGAGCTGAGCCAAAAAGTTCAGCACGTTATTTCGGGACCTTCTAGCACAAACGAAGTGACAGACGGAGCGGCTCGAAAACTTTGGTGACTAACCTGCTATTGCAATTTTTCAGTGTACCACATGGCAACACCATTACTACTGGATTGTACCACATGGCAACACTACTACTAGATTGAACTAGCATTTTCACCAAATATACTAGAATGTTTTGGTTCTATCTCTTTCACTCTACTCAAAACTGAAATGCATAAAAAAATGACAAAATGATACGCACTCTTTGCACACTGTCAAAGAATCATTGTACACAAAATCAACTTTGTTCAAATCAAAACAAAAAAACTAACCCATCTGGTGGATGATGCGAGGGGGGCGACTCTATCTTCGATGCAGAAACGATTTTGTTTTGCTGTGCTTAGCTGCACGTACGATGAGTAGATTTTAAGAAGATTGATGAAGATTTTGAAGATTTCCTGCAAAAAGATGGAAGTCGATGCGAGTAGATGGATTTAGATGCTTAAAATGGCAAGAAGATTTTTCGTAGATTTATTCGCTGGCGTGAGATTTTTCGAGCATCTATGATTGAGATTTAGATGTGTCGCCCCCCTCGGGATGATGGCACAAGCTTCCAAGAAAATTCTATTACAGTGAACCACATTATTTAAATGTATTTCTTCGCCAGTTAGTCGTCTGTCACTTCGTTTGTGCTCGATAGGATGCATCCATTTAGCCATCGGCATAAGGACAATAAGATCGAGATGAGCAGGAGTCTAGATGGTTTTATCATTTTATTATTGATGAAGCTCCTATAGAGCTGGAGTGTAGCAAGAAAGTTGATTGCATAATTTACCAAACAAACCCGTAACGTACTTTACTACACTAAAAAAAATGCTAAACGTTGTTCTTATTGTGTTGCACTTGACATGCACTTTTAGGGGGGAGGAGGGTTTTGGAAACTGTGACTACACTCAAAAATATAACTAATCGAATAAAGATTAAAATTTAAACATGTTATGGTTAAGCAATGTTTATGCATAGATCGGCTTAAAATTTGATCCCATAATTATACTAAGTTCGAATAATGGCGAGGAATTCGTCCAATGTTTATTAAATTGCAACGTTGACAGGATGACGCTTGCAATTGTTCGGTTAGTTTTTAAGATTACAATTCAGTTTTTTTTTATTTTTAGCAAGGTTCTTAATTTTAGATACTCAGGATCGCTGACATCACCGTGGATTTTATTTCCGCTGGCCAGCCAGTTGCATGCATCGGAAGCATTGAAGAGCTGGATAAGAACTCATGTGTGCGAATGAGCGTTCGCCATACACACTTAATCTAGCTCGGTAAAATCTCCAACAGCCGATTACCTCGGCATTTGCTTTTGCTGATATCACAAACGAAGTGACAGACGACTAACTGGCGAAGAAATCCATTAAAATAATGTGGATCACAGTAATAGAATTTTCTTCGAAGCTTATGCCATCATCCACCAGATGGGCTAGTTTTTTTGTTTTGATTTGAACAATGTTGATTTTGTGTACAATGATTCTTTGACAGTGTGTAAAGAGTGTATCATTTTGTCATTTTTTTTATGCATTTCAGTTTTGAGTAGAGTGAAAGAGATAGAACCAAAACATTCTAATACATTTGGTGAAAATGCTAGTACAATCCAGTAGTAGTGTTGCCATGTGGTACAATCTAGTAGTAGTGGTGTTGCCGTGTGGTACACTGAAAAATTGAAATAGCAGGTTAGTCACCAAAGTTTTCGAGCCGCTCCGTCTGTCACTTCGTTTGTGCTGATATCTCTGCAAAATATCTGTTTGTTAGCTGATATCTCAGCAAAATGTTATTTGTTAGCTGAGTTTCGGCAATTGTTTTACTGAATCTCAGCAAAATAAATTGCAGAATCACTCGGCTGTTGGAATCTCGGCGAAAAAAAATAAGTGTGTAGAGCCATCGACCACTTTGAAATCCCGTCGAATTTCCTGGGAAATTCTCAGCAGTGATTGCTGGTTCGATGTCCTTCACACAGAATCACTATCCGTTTGAGAATGCTGCGAATTTCCTAAGCAACAGCTTACCGGCTGACTTCATTGGCGAGGGAATCGATAAGACGCGTGACTGTTGGTCATTTTAACGGCTTTGTTCAACAAGCCCCCGTTCTAGAACCTGTACTGCACCGGACTAATTAGTGCTGACTAGTATTTTAAAGGTGGTGGTCCACAAGTGCGATGCGGCGATGCGGCTAAACTTGATTAACTCGGTACCATGTCCGGTAGTGAACCGGATTCTAACTCGAGCGGTTTTGTACGGCGCAGGGATCAGAACAATTTAAAAATAAATACCCGCATAAGCGCGAACCATAAATTGACCTTACCTAAAATGGTTATAAATTGTTTATAATCCCTGCTAAACTTCAACTGAAATGGTTATGGAACTTTACACGAACGTTTAATGATAAAGTTTTAACCTTAAGTATTATAGTTTTTTGGAAGTGGACCTTACAAATAATGGGTTGTTAAGAACCATTACCATTCAAAATTCTTGTTTTCTCCATACATTTTCGGAAAGAAAACTATACTAAAACCTTTTAACTTATGGTTTGAGAACATTAATGGTAATGGTTATGGTAACCAGTAAGGTCCATGAATGGTTTTGTAACATCGATCAAGTTCATGTGGAATATATCACGAATTGGTTGCCTTTAAATTACTGATTACCAATTCACGATATATTTCACGTAAAGTTGAGCGATAATACAAAACCATTAATGGACCTTACTGACTACCATAACCATAACCATTAATGTTCTCAAACCATAAGTAAAAACGTTCTAATATAGTTCTCTTTCCGAAAATGTATGGAGAAAACAAGAATTTGGAATTGTAATGGTTCTTAACAACCCATTATTTGTAAGGTCCGCTTCCAAAAAACCATAATACAGAAGGTTAAAACTTTATTACACAAACGTTCATGTAAAGTTCCATAACCATTTCTGTTGAAGTTTAGCAGGGATTATAAACAATTTATAACCATTATCGGTAAGGTCATGTGATGGTTCGCGTTTATGCGGGTATCTTTATTTATTTCTATGTTGATAGGTACCTACCGTGGAAGCACCATATTTGACGCGGGTCCAAACTTGACGCACTTTCCAATCAATTCGATCATAACTCCTGTTTCGGTTTGAATTGCACCGAAATTGTAATTTTTTGTCCTTTGTTTACACTCATGCCACCCATTCATAACAAAAAACATACTTTGTTTATTGCTAATAAGAGCAATCAAAATCAAAACGAAAAAGCCATCTGTCAAATGCGTCATTTTTTTCTCTTCGTAGCAACAACGCTAAGGAGCAAGTTTAATGTTTATTGTTAGTTTTCACGCAGAAAATCAGTTTTCGTGTAATAATATGTTACTAACTATTAAACTGTAAGTATTTTTAACGTTTAACAGCTGATTCAGCAATATATAGTATGTTTAGAGCACATTATTTAACGAAAATGTTTTGCGTCAATTTAGGCTCACAGTGGCCCTTATTATTTTCTATGTGAAACATGGAGCCCAAGATGCCGAAAGCTTCACGTAGACGAGCTAATCCTCCTGCTGTCGCTACAAGCGACGAGTATAGAGCGTGGTTTGAAAGGATGGAAGCAGACAAACAGAAGGAAGAACAAATTCGAACGGAGAAAAAGGCAGCCAGAGAAGCGAAGAAATTGACCACAGCAAAACGTCTTGAAAATAAACCTAAATCTGCTCCAAAGAAGATGAAATTGATTGTTTGATCTTTAATGATTTGTATATTTACCATATTTCATCAACCATTCAATAAACACTTGTTTTTTGTTGAAATTAAGCTATTTTTTTAAGTGCGTCAAATAAAGAACACCTTGCGTCAAATAAGGCACATTACAGATTCTATGCGTCAAGTTAGGAACCCAAAGTACCAAACAGAAATTTATTATAACATCAAGAAATTAACAGATATTTACGTTTTATTTATTTTTCCTACATTCTGTATTTACTGAACTATTACCAACAATCAATACGAAACTAACGATTTTAAATTGGCTCACCACTTTAGTAGCCTATTGGTCCCAAGTAAACGATTAACGTACCCTATTCTAGCCGAAATTCTAGTACTACGCAATGTTTGTTTTGATTCGCTATGAAAGTTTGACAGATAAAATGAGGGGTTATTGGTTTTTCTATGTTTCGAGGGGTGAATCGATTAGCTTGGGACC